AAAAAAAAAAAAAAAAAAAAAAAAAAAAAAAAAAAAAAAAAAAAAAAAAAAAACATCCACAGTCTCAGAATGCAAAAAAAAATCTGCAAACCCAACGAAACGTTGTAAAAAAATCGCAAAGGCCGCGGAGCAAGGACCTTGACATAGAAAGACAAAAAAAAAAAAAAAAAAATCTCATGCTCTTTCGTTCAGTGTCTTTTACGCAGAGGCAATGCCTTTAGCCGCGTGAGCACACGCAGTCCCGAGCCAATTTTTCAAGGTGCGCGTGACGCGCTGAATTTTTCATCGTCGCCCCGCACGGATCCCCCGATATCTCCAAAATCGGTCACCGATAAAGACCGGCATTCTTGTTACTCCGAAAAAAATCCAGATGATTCCTCGCCAAACCGGCTTTTCCGCGCGATCGTTAATTTTTTTCCTCCCTTTGATTTTCGCCGCGCGCGCGTGGAAAAGCTCCTCTCCTACGTTGTATTTTTAATTTTTTCTGTATAGTCTGTGATGTAGGGAATCATTAAAACAAAATCGTTCTTAAAAGTAAAGTCTATAGATATGTGTGGTTAATTTATTAATACGAGACTTAAAAAAGTGTACCAAACTTTTGAGGTTTATTCAAAAGAAAAATTCATCCAAAATTTTTCTGTAAAACTAACAATTTTTAAGTAACAATTCAGTAAATTCGGACAAATGTTTGCTTCATAGTGTTTGGAATTGGGGAATTTCCCTTTATTTTGATACCGTAAGACATAGAAATAATATTCGTTCAATAAATGATCAATTCTTATTTGTGGAAGAAAATTTCTACAACAAAAACAAGTAGTTTTTTTAACTGCTAAGTGTATGTTTAATTAAGAAAACGATTGTCGTCTGCGTAAGGAAAAAAACCCGTTAAAAGTGTTAACAACAACACAGCGTCTTTTACATCAGATAGCGAATGAGTCAGGCGCATGGCGATTTCTGGAAATTCACAATAATTCACGCACTGACTTGACAGCCAATACTGCAGTAAGCAAGCGTTGGGCTTTCGTTTTTGTTTGCTTCGTTTAACGTAGCGGTTTTTCATTAAAAAAAAAAAAAAAAAAAAAAAAAAAAAAAAAAAAAAAAAAAAAAAAAA